TATTGTATTGACGGGATACGTCAACGCATGTACATGCACATGAAAGTCGCTGTTGCGTTCTTCACATTTTAAAAGTTGCCTCCTCAATTTTTTTTTCGGGGTCGCCTGTTATTTGATTGGACGCTTGATCTTTTTTTAATGACTGACATTGAATGAAGCGTACGAGGTGCAATGCGAATCTTCAGAAAGGTAGTTGTAGTTAATAAAAGTTTTTATATATAAGATTAATTTAACCTATATCCCTACCGTTTATACTTATAACAAGAACTCGTCTTCTCGCTGGACAATTTCATCGTATTGATCTTCCTGCTAGGACAGAAAGCCCAATAGTATCCTTAAATCTTGCAAGCATGACTCTCGTTCGTTGTGGCATGGACAAAGTTCTTTGATCCCAATCCAGCTTCTTCAAATAAGAACTAACCACTCATGGTTCGCACCGTTGATAACACCACGTAGCCCAGTTTTTGACAGTATCGCCAAGAATTACCAATAACCACAATGCATATATACCTGTAATTTGTATCCAGTTGTCGCAGAATTACTGATAATTCGGGAACTGCTACCCTTAATCTTGGTGTGTAAACTTCTCTGTCATAAAACCATCTGGTTCTGATAGTGTAGTCTTGCCTCGTTACATAAAAGTACGGGCATAATACGGAGTCTCCATTACTTTCATGTTCCACAAGGATAGACTAGTCGAATACGTAGACTTCTACAGGGCCTTCTAAGTAATGCGCGCCGGGTATAATTCAAACCTCTGCCCCCATCGGTACCATTACCCCTAAAGCAAATCGTCTCCAGGAGACGAAATTATTAATTGAAGGATTTCGTGCGCTAGGTAGTCCACAAGCTAGCTACCAGTAGCTGTTGCTCGGAAACCGATCCTACCGGTATTCACTCGTATCCAACGGTCTCAAAGCTAAAGTTTCAGATTTGTTCTTTAAAAACTTTGAATCACGGCACTGCTCCCTGCCTTGTACAATACACCTACTCGGTTGACATTGTACATGTGTGTTGGCTCAAGTTCTATTCTATTTTAGATCCACCCTTGGTTTTCGTCTCTTTGTCAACCCACCAACGTGCCAGGTCACCAAGCATAACTCCAGCAGGTGCCGAAACCCAAATGACAATTAGAATAGCTGCTGCCTTGTAACTGCGTAGCAATGGATCAATGACGAACAAGACAACCCGGAAAAGCCAAAAGGATCCCCACATGGATCCGGCAAACCTGAACATCCACATCCGATGAGCTACACGGTCGCCAGCTCGGATGGTCACGATGCCACGGAGAAGACATCCATAGACACAAGCTGCCATGGAATAAAAGCCGTACTTGGCCCATTTGCCACCATATTCGTCTATTTCACCATGTTCGGAAGCCAACCAACATGCACAGCCCAAGCCAATTGTTTCACAAATGAAAGTGATGTACCCTAGCAACTTGTGCTGGGCTTTTTTCTGCGGGTTGTAGGGCGTCTGGATCAGTAGGATTTGTGTCAAGACCAACGCGATGGAATTGCACGCAATGTGAACTAGCAAGATATACGATCGCAGCTTGGGACCGTAGGCAAAGCGTTCATAAAAGGCAGACGCCCAAGCAGCATGTTGGACATATCGGTCACCCCAAACGGTACAAGAGTTGTTGTGACATGGAATCAAGTTGGCTGGTATTTCATTTTCTGGAAGACTGCCGATTCCAAGGTTAATGAGAGTGTCATAAATACCAACAAAGTTGGCAATTGCCTCAGGGACTCCATTCACAAAGTATCCCATATTCAGGCTCGCCATCAAAGCGATGCCAGCCCAAAAGAAGTCTTGGAACGATCGTTGTCTTTGGAGACCTTGAACGAGAAGGTAGCCCCAAACCACTAGCCAGCAGTACGTTAAAAGCACTCCTACTGGGATGGGTGAATCAGCGATGCCTTCTGTTGCGGTTGCCATTGTCGATGGTTGTCGTACTGTGAAGAAAAAGAAAAAGTGTCTGCTCAAACCAAGGCTCTGAAGAAAAAGAAAAAGTGTCTGCTCAAACCAAGGCTCTCGAAGTCATTACCACCACCGGGAGAGATGAAGCTTAGCCACTGCGAAACTTGAAAAGCATGCGAAGGCAACTGTTGCCTTTCCCCTTCGCTTCAACTCGGACTGGCAGGGTCACAATGTCAGTATTTACATACAATGGTACTCAAAAGTGCACGCTGACGCGGACTGTACACAAGCAATCTTTTTTACCATACAACCACTGTAAGACTGTTTACCTTGTCAAGACCTTTTCCGTCCCAAAAAGCAGGTTGATTTACTAGCTATTAATAGTAATGGAAACATCATTTGGCCATAAATAAATAATATTTTACTTTTGAAAACTGCATAGAGGAAACATCTGCAGGATGGGGTATTAACATCTTTATTATGTGATTTATCCTCTCCCAATGCTCCTGGAAAAACCCTTTACAATGGAAACAGTCTTGCAGGTCTATTTAGTATTCGCGCTTGTACCTGCGAGCCACCTAATCTACTCACCGGTACCGGTACAGAGGGAGGCTCTGTGCGGTTCAGTTTTTTCCAATGACCCGAAGAACATCATACTAGCTAGCCAGACTGAAACAGATGTACCGGCACAGTAGGGTATTTAATAGTTAACCTTGGTTGCAGATTGACCACTGACCTCTACTAGCTAGAGAGGATGGAAAAACTGATGCAAAAAAGGAATCAATCTAACCTGTACCATGGTACTCAAAACTCAAAGGATGTAGTTGCCAAATTATTGTGTGATTGTGAGAGGACTGCTCTTTTAGCATGTCATTCAACTCGCTGAACCTGAGACTAGGAGAGATGTCAACTCTCTTTTTGACTTGACTTAAATGTGCAGTGAAAAGCACGAGATCATACCTTCCGTCGTGGTGCCTCCGAACCTTACAACATCAAGGAAATGCATAGAATTCCATACAAAGTCACGCTGCGAGTTGCAAAACGACGCCAAGGTCTGACATCGACCGAGTTGAAGCAGCATTCTGGTTTTGGCCAACGCGCTTCTTGTTGCCGTCTCGTGGTGACCAAGTTCAGCCTCAATGCTGGTCTCGTCGGCGAATGCCGTCGCCACCTCTACCGCTCGACAGTGAAAGTTACACATAATCGAGCTCCTTGGGAGAGCCGACTTGACAGAATGAACGTCCACATTTTCACGTGCACAATTTCAACGTCACCAATCTCTCTACAAACCAGCAACTCCTGGAAGCGCTTAGTTATCAGCAATCGAGTCTTTCTCAAAGCCAAGATCCTCGCGAACAGATCTGGCAGTCAAATCCAACACGAGGGGATGCCTGCTGACGTCGAGGTCAATCACAGCAAGGCGGACATCGGTCTGCTTCCGTCCATGGTGTGCTTTGTTCGCGAAGAACAGCGCTACATGATAGTCTTGGTGACGGATATATATGACTTGTTGTCATACGCGGAACCATTGAGAACGTGATCGACGGCGATGGTTGGGTTAGGTGGTGGCACAAACTCGATTCCGTACAGTTGGCAATTCCATTCGTCTGGCCGTAACAGTCGAAATACTCGGAGTTCTGTAGTCTTGAAGGCAATCCTCATTCAATGTGACTTCCGACTCCCATTTGACCATCTCAGAATATCTGAAGTCATCAACTCGCTCTCGGAGGGCTGTCAGCTCGCACTCCACCTTCTGGATCCCCCTCTTCGCTTCACTGTGAGAATACGTTCCCGGGATGGCACCATGCCTGACGAGTCTCGTCAGCATCGTAAATTTCTTCGTATTCAATCGCAGTTGCAACCCTTCCAATACAAGGTTTGAGACTCTTTTGCAACATTTCGACTTCTTCAATCAGCTCTCCCAAGCCGTCTTCCAAAGCATACCCATGACGCTTCAAATTCCCTCTCTTTCACCAAACGCTCCCAATCTTTCAGATTTTCTGGGATTTTGCGGACTTTTTGCAGCAAGTCTGTAGATAGTGCAAATACTGGCTGGCTAGTGCCACCTTTTAGCGTGGTCAAGACATCGTCGCATTCGGAATACAAACAATCTCTCTGCTGGTCGTGCTCCATCGCAGCCCATTGGGTGAAATCCAGGGAAATCATCTGGCTCAGAAGGATCCCAACAATTCATTACAGCTTCATCTGTTTCGCCAGAGCTGTTGATTATGGCTGCCTACTAGCTAGTACTGGTAGTGGTAGCGGTATGACCATACTGTACTTCCGAAAGAGCTGATCAAGACCTGGCCGGGGGGGAGTGGAGTGTGTCGTTGTCGAGCAGCCGCACGCAAAAGAGGACAACGATCCTGATCCCTATCTGTCCACGCTGCCTGGCGTGGAAACCTGAACCCTCATGGGTTCTTCGACGAATGACTCGACTCACAGTTGCCAAACTGTACCATCTCACAAAACACGAAATCGATTCCCACACTTCGCTCCTACTCATCAAGTACATCTCTACATCTCTCAGGTCATCACCTGCGTTCCTGAAATGGATACCCCACATACATGTCGCTATGTCTGCCTCCTTCGCAAGATCAGCTCTAAGGCAATAGCACCCCTCGAAGACCGCTCACAGATAGCAACCTTGAATGAACACAACATGCAAGACGGTCCAACTCTCTCTTTCACCATTGAACAGTCGATCGCAAAAGGTTGTCTCCTTCTCTCTCACAATTCTTCCTTCACGAGCTGCAAGCAAGAACTAGAATAGATTAACCTCTTGCGTCGGCATCAGGGTCTAAATTCTTCGAAAATCCTCGACCATGGCCAACTCTTTATTCTCTACTCTCGTAGACCGCGGAAATCACTGGGACGCACCCGATTTTGACTATGCCGCTCTTCTGACCCGTGTCTGGTTGGTAACGTGACACGAACAGTAACGTTCACCAAACTACCTTGGGCTCTGCTGTCACGGCGGTTCCTCGTTCCGTCGCCTTGTTCTCACCGGTGATGAAGACACATCCATATCGGGCATTCTTTGTTCACATACCCGCAGACTTCGAACCTGTCTCTCCTACGACTACCTCGCTGTTCTGCTCACCGGAAACGACCTTAACAGTGTCGCTCCCGTGATACTTCCAAACACCAGTTTCCACGTATCGCCGAGACACGCTGCAAGACACTGGCCCATTTGGATGGTCCCCGAAATGTTAGGAGACGACCTCCTACTCCTTCCCAACTCCGGTCCCCATGGACCGGGGAAGCGGACGTTGACACCCACCGATCCCGTCGCGTCATGCACCTTCCTCACTACTGACCTCGCGTCCCTTCACTCAGGTACCTACCGGTTCGCTACTCCATCGGCCAGTGTCCGAAACCTCATCCTGCTCCCGAGATCACTCATGCTGAAGTCGCCCCTCAAAATGCCATCATCCCCCTCGTCCAATGGTTTCCGCTGTCGCCACCAGCGATGCTGGCGGCCCCTCCTACGCATCACCGGGGCATACTCTGGTCTCCCGCCAACGTCATGCTCTCCCAACGATCCCTAAACTCAGTCAATCGTCCGTTGCTCACTGCCTTAGGCGCCACCGGACCTGGACTAACAAACGACACTGTCAACGCGGGAGTGGCCGGCATCCAAGACACACGCAACAACGTCAACCGTGAACAACTGAACTTCGAGCGCACCCGAAGTACGTTCATGCGGTTCTTTCCTCCTTGCCCGAGTTGAATGAAGTCTTCAACGAAGACATCATTGAGGCCTAGGGGACGGTTGTATACTCTGTTGGAGACTGCCGCAATGTCGTCGTCGGCGGTGGACTCGATGGGTTCAGTCGCGATGTTGAGGGGGGCCTGAGTGGCGGACTGGTCTTCGGCGTCGCGGGGACGTGGAGTCAAGGAAGGGACCAGGTCGTCCTGGCGAGATGCCGGTTCCTCGAGGCGGTGCGGCGGACAAGAGCGCGGTGAGTGCGAGAAGCGCGTGTTACCGCGGTCGCAGGCATTTTCGGACATTCCGCTGAGTGTAGGAGGGGATTGGACCCAACCAATGGTGAAGACATTGGATGGCTACCCAGTTGGGTCTCCTTCGTATTGGGAGGACGATGGTGAGTCGGATGCAGTCTGAGGCGTTCAGGAACATACGTTAGAAGCCATCCTTGATGGCGTGCTTGCAGGGGCGGACGGGTCCAAACTTTGGGTTTGCGTGACGGACATCGTAGAGAATCCGAGGAAGGGCGCCGCCGAATTGCATGGCTTCGGGTGGGGCATGATGAACAGTGGATTGGTTCACCGAGGGCCAACCCCAGTCCCAGGAGTGAACGCTGATGAGACGGGGTTTTCGTTCCCGTTCTTCTTTGACAGACGCGGCGGATAGCAGCAAGGAAGGTTCGTCTTTGACAAGTTCGTAGGGTAGGACTACCAGAACTTGTTGGTGATGAATTCGGAGAATGTCTCTCGGAGGAAGGCGGAATGCTAGGTAGCAGATTTGTGGCAACCATGGCAGATGCATTCCTCATTCTGCTCGGCGGTCCAATGAGGGGAGTTGTTGTTTACAGGGACCCCGTGGTCACGCAATTCGGTGAGCAAGGGTAAGGCTGGATGATCGACTTGTTCCAGTTCGGGGAGAGGTAGGATCTAACTCGGAAGTTTGTGACAAAGAATTCCCAGGACTCGGCTTGGGAGTAGTCGCGGCATAATTTAGTAACTAACGTACCTAGACGATCATTTCGGACAGATCTTGTGTCAACGGGAGTACTATTAGTTTTAGGTGTGTCGTTGAGGCGAGACTTTGAAGGTTAGGGACGTTTCGAGGGGGCGAGTTGTCGAAGTGTGAAGAGCGCTTAGTAGTTGAAGGAGTGGAGTTGTTTTTGTGTGGAGTGTATGAATAATGTGTAGACGTGTTTATGTTGAGTGCAGGAGTGCTCCGTCGTTTTCTACCGGACGGAGGGGCATCAAGGCTAATAGGTAGAGGCGAGCCAAACTGTATTCGAGGTACAGGGGCGACAGTGAACGGTTGG